AACAATTTGTTCAAAAATTACAAATAAAAGAACAGATTTTGAAAAGTAACAGAATAAAGAATAATAAAAAACAAAAAAAAATGTTGATTGAGGTGCTATGCTGAAGCACATAAAAGAATGGTCAGAGAATTTAAACCTGATTTCTCTACAAATAGGTGAATTAGTAAGTATACGCCATAGCCAAGCATGTGACTAGTGGAGTCTTTGCAAATCAAAGGATAATCAATACTGAGATCTGAAGCAATGCAAAATCTTACTCTGATATGAAAAAAAAATTGTGTATTTTAAATTTAAATTAGTCTTACAACAAGCAAGCAAGGTTAATTTTGCAAGAGTTAAAGTTTAACTGATGGAAAGTTACTTTGGCAACCACAAATATTTGTGAAAGTGCTCCAAGAAAACCTTATTTTAAGTAATTAAATGCTCCTAGAAGCAGTGCCGGATCAAGGGGCGGCTAGAGGAGCCTATAGCCCCGGGCCCCGCAAATTTAGGGGCCCCAAAACATTTTAGAGGTTCTTTTTTTTATTATTTTTTAAAGTCATTTTTAGACTCTGGCCCATAAAAAGGTCTCCAAAAACAAAAATATCCCCAGGCCCCAAGAAGTCTTAATCCGCCACTGCCTAGAAGACCTTATTTTAAGTAATTAAGCGCTCCTAAAAGACCTTATTTTAAGTTATTAAGTTCTATTTGATGATCTTATTTAAGTTATTAAGTGCTCCTAGATCACAGATCACTACGGAAGTTAGATCACTACGGCATTTTCTTCAGAAAGTTTACGCCTCCTCTCTTACTTATGTCTAGAGTCAACATTAAACTTCTTGATTTTGAGCCAGAATTCTAACCACTGCGCCACGGCTGCTAAATAGTAAAGTACTAAAAGTTCATTGTAAATACATAAAATATTATAACTTCATTGTAAATACATTTTAAAATGTCACAAAGCAATTATGATTTTAAAGTAGAATTAACAATTCCATTTAGTACTTAGATTATAGTAAAGAAGCAAAATCAGTATTAATTTTTCGAGTTAATTAATGGTTCTAGTTTTGTTGCGTTTGGTCAACAATGGTTGTTGACTTTAACGTTGTTAAGGTCAACAACCATTGATAACACTTAAAAATACACAATATTAGACGTCTGTGTAATCAATCCTGTCGAATCAGTTAAAATGTTAAGAGTAACCATTGACTGGCATCTTACCTTTGTTCCTCATTTAGATAATGTTAAAAAAAATGTCACGGTATCTTGGGAGTTCTTTTGAGAGCTAGTCGGTACCTAACTCGTAATTTTCTGAGACTTGTTTATATATCATTAGTAAGATCTCAGCTTAAATATTCTAGTGTAATTCTCTTATCTGCGGCACATCCCAGTTAAAGAAACTAGACAGTTTGCTTTACGAGTTATTTACGGAGAAAACCAAGATGCTCCTTTAGCCCCTCTTCTTAATAAATTGAAACTGGACTCATTAAAAGATAGAAGAGAAAATCATGTAGTTCAATTTGTTTGTGCGATTATAACTTGAAATTATCCTCTAGCCTATTTCGACCTATTTGGAGATCGCACCGAGGGGAAAACTTATAAAGAAATCCGCTCTCGTATTAAAATTGATCAGAGACAATTTGTTCTAACGTATACATCGTATATTTTGTATATCAGCGTTGTATATTTTGCGTACCAACATCTTTTACTTCGTGTACTAAAGTCGTATAAGCAGTCATGCATTAATCACTTGCATGCTTTTGTTTACATCTTGGTTTTACGTATCGACCTCGTAAATTTGTGTCAACATTGTGAAGGAATATTTTATTATTTAAATCTTTTTAGGTTGGGATGTATAAAATATATAGTGATATAAACAACAAGAAAACAAAGCAAAGGCAAAAAGAACGCAAATCAATAAACTGAAGAATCATTTGAGAATTAGAATTCCAAATGCACTAGTTGTTTTAGAGAGGTTCATTTACTTGGCCACTTTAGAGAAATCTGGGTTTGGAAGACGAAAAGTTATCACCTGTGAATTAATTTCATTATGGACCAAACTGAGTTTTCCAGCGATAACAGAAAAATCAGTTTCAAAGAAAATTTAAAAATATGGTGAAATGTTCAACTTTTCGTGAAACTTATTTTTTTTAAATAAATACCACAGAGATCAGAAAGCACAGATAATCAGTATCAGTTATTATAATGAAATATTATTTGATATAACAAATAAAAAGGTGTATGGCTGAAGAAAAAAAGTTTTACTAAGTGCAAGTTGAAAGTAATGAAAAGGTTGAATATGTTACTTTGAAAATTGTTCCAACTTATCCATCTAAATGTTTCAAAAATAAAGTGACTGTTGTTAGCAAAACTATGCATCAAATAGAAATCACTGACTCAGACTCTAGTAACAGTGAAAGGTTGATTGACAATGATTTTACCCCATCTTCAGGCAATTTCAGTAGACTTAAAAGAAAAAGAAAAGCTTTAAATGTCATTATTTGTTAGAAGGTATTAATATTGCAACTCCAACACAGGCAGTTATTTAAAAATCAGTTATGAAAGAAGCTGATAGAATCAAAGAAGAATTAAAGAAAACTCTAAATCTTTATGGGCACTACAGAAAGAAATGCAAATTGTAGTTTTAAAAAACAATGATCAAGAAATAAACTTGACAGCTTTGCTTTAAGAGGATGGCAAAGCCAAAGCAATTGTTTCAGCATTGATTAATTTGTTAAATGAATTTGATATATGGTAAGTAATAAAAGTGATTAATTGCGATACAACAAACGCAAATACTGGAGCAATAGTTGGTGTTGTAGCATGTTTAATAAAAAAGGTTTATATCCAGGAATTTGGAAGTTCCACAATATATTGGTTGCTAGCATCATGTGTTAGATTTGTTATCGAAGCAATTCATGAATGAAATTTTTGGAGGCAAAACATTGTCACCAAATATAAAATATTTTTTTGTTGATGAACTGATACAAAATTATGTCTTGGTTAAAAATTACAAACATTCAACGTTAATTATCAGCATACCAGCAATGGTACGGCGAGATGAGGTTTTTTTGTGTGCTAACATCATTACAGAAATTATGTGAAAAAAAGATTTTGCCAAAAGCTCCTCCATATATTAGTAATGCGAGATGGAACTCAAAAGGAATTATAGCATTACTGGCATTTATTTTACCAGAACATCGGCAGCAACTGCAACCAGCATGCAAGCGTGTTATAAATACTGCAAAAAATATTTGTACACAATATGCAGTAAAAACAGTGCAAGAAATAATGACTTATGCAATAACTGAAAAAACAATTAATAAAAAACTAATTTTTTGTAATAAAATTTAAAAGATATACTGGTTATAATTTTTTAAGCATCTATAATTTATTAAAAATACATGACTTTATATTGAAAAGGTCTAAAGGGATGGGGAAGTTTTTTAATTTTTTTTTATTATAATAGATATCTTTTATTTTTAGTTTAAAACTGTGTGGCATCATGGCCATTAGGGTGTTGACTTTTTGGTACCCTGTATAAAAAATAGATGAACTTTGGTTTGAAAGTAACTGAAAAGTTGTTGGTATTATTTATTTTTTGAAAAAGGTCACCCACCATGATCCTTGATTACATGCTGGGTCCCATATATCAATAAAAAAAATTTTCTCCATAAGAATATCAACATGGGTCTCAAAAGAACCAGAATTTCATAAAGATTCCAGAAATAATAATTTTAAATAAAAGAATTGCTCAAATCCGATGTACAAAAAAGCAACAATTTTTAATCAAAAACAGAAAAGGTAGTTTTTTTTTTTTTTTTTATTCAACCATATCAATAAAATTTACAAATTTCATCGTAAATTAATATAAATTGGTTAGGTGTCACTCATATAGTTACAAACTAGTCAATGGAGTGACACCTAAAAAACATAAAAATTTCACGAAAAAATAAATAAATAGAAAGAAAAAAAAAAAAAAAAGGAAACTGAAGTAAACAAAAAAACAAAAAAAAAACAAAAAAAAAAAAACAAAAAAAAAAAGGAAAAACTTAATATCTGTATATAAATATTGTATTTGTGACAATATATTTTTTTAGAAAAAGAATTCAATAAAAATATTATAAATTTCGAAATCACTATTAAAATCTGGTTCTTTTGAGACCCAGTTAGATATTTTGAGACCTAGGTATATATAATTTTGAAGAAAAAAAAATCAAATAATATTTGGATTCCAGCGTGTAATTAAGGGTAAACTTTTTAAAAAGTAAATAAAACCAACGTCTTTTCAAAGTAAATAAAACAAACAACTTTTCAAAGTAAACAAAACCAATGACTTTTGAAAGTAAATAAAACCAATGACTTTTCAAAACTTTATTTTCGAACCGAAGTTCATCTATTTTTTATATAGGAAACTGGAGATACAAAAAGTTTACAAAAAACTTAACACCCTAATGAGATTTTAAAAAAGTTGTCACCCTAATATTGAAGTTCTTTTGAAAGAGCGCACATAACATTAAGAACAAGTTGTATTATTGATATGTACATAATATTAACAACAAAAATTACATGCCGAGGTCAAAATTAAAAATAGTTTAATTTTTATAAAAAAAGCAATTTAATCAGATGTTGAGAGTATTTTAGTTTTAAAATCATTTTTTGTATTTTAACTTAATTCATTACATATCTGTTTTTTTTTTTTTATTGCTTAGAATGTGTATTATATAAGATATTGTATAAATTGCTGTAAAAATAATCTACAAAATTTTAGTTTTAAAAGGATTTTGTTGAAATTGTTTAAATGGCTATTTGATAGAGTGAAACTTCAGATTGAAGTCGAGTGGAGCTTCTGAGTTATTAATTTTAAAATTATTCTTTCAAAACCTTTTTATTATAATTGGATACAGTTTTATATGCTCCTTAGGAAGCGAAGCATGACTTCCAGATACACAATTTCTTGGAAGGTAGGATCACGATGTTTCCATGTTAAAACGATATTTAACCTGCCCTGACATTATTAATTCAATATTAATATATTTATTATTATATTTTATTATTAATATATTATTTATTTCATTAATACTAAAGCAACTTTTATGCAAAAGAAAAATCTAAACTTCCCAACTAAACGTTCTTTTAACTGCATCCTTCCATTTAGCATATAAATTTTTGCGAGCTTAAAAAAACATATTTAAATTTTATTAGATATAATTAAAAAAAAACAATTATATCTAATACAAAAAACTCAAAACAAACATAGAACTATTTATTTTTACCTTCCTCGTCAAGTTTTGGTTTAAAATATGAAAAGTTATTTTTGGTGAGAGATGCCTTCCAACAATCTACACCTTTTGCTTTCCCAGCAGCTATTGCTGCACCGAGTGCAGTTGTTTCAGGCATGATTGCTCTTGCTAAAAATAAAGGTTTTAGACGATGTTTCAACTTTTTTTGTTACAAAGTTTCAAGTTATTTAATTTCGATGCATTTTATTATTAAATTTATAAATACAACCCTAACCGGAAATCCAACTAAACAATGCTCATTTAATACAAATATTAGCTAATATATTATACAAATATAATATACAATACTCTTGTATTTAAAATATTATGAGCATAATAATATATCTATATATATTGAAAATATTTTTTATGCATTCTTTTATTTATTTGTATTACATATCTACAATATTATATGTTATAAAAATATTATAAATAATGAAATGGAAATTATTGAGAATGATGATGATAACAGAGAATCATAAAAGTGAGATAACAGAGATAACAGAGAATATGATCATAAAAGTGATGTTGATAAACAATATGAACGTCCATTATTAGAATATGCAAATAGTAATCATCAAATTCTGACAACCACCTTACTTCAATGATTACTAAAACAAAAAATTGACAATTAGCTGGAACCATCTACCAAATCTGTCTCTCACAATCAGTTTTTCAATATGGAGAGATACCTGTTATTAATTAGTAATCCATTTTGTTTAATAAAAAAAACTACGATCATCTTCATGGTTAAACTTGTTAAAATTATAAAATAATATAAAATAATGTCAGGATTTGTTAAAATGACTTAAATGTTACAAATGAAAAAACATTTTACCAAACAACAGTAAAACAAATGAATAACAATATTTTTAAAACACAAGTAATAAAAAAAAACATCAAACTATTGTAAAAGAAAAAAAAATCGTAAGATTTTTGAAAACCATACTCTACAACCCTTCACTTTTTTTTTTTTTTTCCCACTCTATCCCATCACTTTTTAATGGTTATTGATATTGTTTTCATCGTTGCTGGTATTATTTCTATGGCTACTGATATATATATATATATATATATATAGAAAAGACTACTGACCTACTTCTATACCAAGTATATCAGCTTGCATTTGCATTAAAAAGTTATTAGCTGTCATCCCACCATCAACAATTAGTTGTTTTAATGGAATACCAGAATCTTTATTCATAGCTTCCAAAATCTATTTAAAAAAACTATAAAGACATAATTTTCTAACTTAATGACTTTTCACATTTCAACATTTTGATGATTCTATGTTGTATATCTTAAAAATAATTCAATGTTGTAATCATTCTTAAGTTTGGTGGTATTAAACACTTGCTTGTTTATACGTTAGAATAAAATATATGAAGAATATACAAGCCCATATAAATAAAAAATTATATGTTTATATTATATAGCATAAATTTCGCAATAAGTATGAGACTGATCGCAAAATTAATACAATGTAATACATGTATGTAAAATTATATCGGCATATTACAAATATATTATGCCAATAAAATTAATCTAAATAATTATACAACTGATATAAATCGGTTAGCAGGAGTAAAAAAATCCTAGGGTGTTTAGATATTCTTCCTGATGAACCTACTGATGGTGAAACATGCATATATATATATATATATATACACATATGTATATATATATATATATACACATATGTATATATATATATATATATACACATATGTATATATATATATATATATATATATATATATATATATATATATATATATATATATATATATATATATATATATATATATATATATATATATATATATATATAGAAACAGTTCAGGAGTTTGGAGTCATAGCATGCCATGACATGAGCAATCAGCTGACAGGTGACAGCACACAGGCAGAATTTCGTTGACAAGCGCCATTTTGCAGCGGACAAAATAAGTGCAACTTTTTTGGTTTGTTTCATTTTCTTAAGTCTGGTCCATGTCAACGTCGCGGAAGTTTTTTAATAATTAAAGGAAGTATTTAGAAGTTTCCAGAAGCATGCAGAAGCTGCCAGAAGAAGCATCTGGAAGCATCCAGAAGTATTCAGAAAAATTCAGAAGTATCCAGACGCATCCAGAAGCATCAAAAAGAAGCATCTAGAATCTTCCAGAACAGGTTCACACAGGTTCATTTTACTATATAAGACATGTAAACCGACATGTAATTCAGTCAGTATATGGAAGTCAATCAGTCAGTATTATAAAGACAGTTTATCTAAACAAACAAACAAAGGTGGAAGACCGCGTTCCACTACTTCTATACCGCGTTCTACCACTTCTATAGAGGATTCTATGATGGTCAAATCCGTCAAGAAGGATCCCTGGATATCATCAGTCGAGATACAAAAGCAATTAGAGATGCATGTATTGGACCGAACAATCAAACGACGTGCTGTTGAAGCCGGATTGTTTTCTCGACGCCCTGCAAAGAAACCCCTGATTTCACTAAAGAACCAGAACATAAGACTCCTGTTTGCTACATCTTATATTTACTGGAATGTTCAGACACGGCGAACTGTCCTTTTCAGTAATGAATTGAAGTTCAACATTATTGGGAGCGATGGCATTTGCCGTGTACGTCGACCGGCCGGAAAACGCCTCGATTTACAGCACTTACATATAACAGAAAACGCCTCGAATACAGCACTTTTATATAAAGAAACTAAATTAGCATTATTTAGTTGCACTTGTTTTGTCTGATACTGTATATATATATATATATATATATATATATATATATATATATATATATATATATATATATATATATATATATATATATATATATATATATATATATATACACTTTCTAAAGCGTGTTTTGATAAGCATTTGCACACTTTTTCTGCTTACCTTAAGCTATACCGTTTTTTTCGAAAAAGAAGAAATGTATATATATATATATATATATATATATATATATATATATATATATATATATATATATATTTATATATATATATATATTTATATATATATATATATATATATATATATATATATATATATATATATATATATATATATATATATATATATATATATATATATATATATATATATATATATATATATATACATATGTTTCACCATCAGTAGGTTCATCAGGAACAATATCTAAACATCAAAAAATTCAAATTATAGAAAAAATTGTTTGACAGGAAATTGGGAATTGTTATAATTAACTATGTAATAACTTTAGTTATTTTGCAACCAGGAAGATGCATCAACTACATTAGATAATTAAAAAATAATGAAAAGAATTCTTTAGAATTAGGATTATTTCAGACTGGTCATTTGTTTTTATAATTTTTTAAAAGGAACTTAATTTTATGTCTGCATTTAGAAATTAATTCAGATTTTTTATTCAGTAAATTTTCTTGATCTAAATGAGTAATAATTTCAAACTTTTCTCTTCCAATTTTATTGAAATTTATTCTTTTATATAAATTATGTATATAAACATGTATATATACATGTGTAAATATGTTATGTAAACACACATGTGTATGTTTACATAACATGTTTACACATGTTTATATACATGTTTGTATACATAACTTATGTACACATGTATATATACATTTGTCTGTATACATAATGAGTGTAAACATGTATATGTACATGTATGTGTATACATAAATATAATAAAAGAAATATAATACATAAATATAAATGATGACTTTACAAAAAATTTAGGCGAGCCTAAATATTTTTTTTTATATATATATATTTTTTTATATTATATTTTTTTCTGATCATTACATCTGGACATAATGTAATGACCTAATAATTAATGTTTTTTATAATGATCTTCTAACAATGATGCAACTTAGATAAAACAAGATAAGCTTTTATTTTCTCAAGGTTAATGTGATGACTTGAGAACAAGTGTGATTTTTTTTTTAATTTAGTATCTTAGCAACATCATCGATTAACAGCAAGATTATTTAGGAATTAAAAACTTAATAAAAATTTTAAAAATTTTAATTTGAAAGTTTAATTTATTTAAGAAACAAATATATTATCAATAAATATTATATATATTTTAATAATAATAATAATAATAATAATAATAATAATAATAATAATAATAATAATAATAATAATAATAATAATAATAATAACAATAATAATAATAATAAATATTTATTAATAATAAATATATAAATAAGAAAGAAACTAATTAAACTTTTAGATCTATAATTTTACAGAACAAAATTTTTTTACCTCTTTGGTTTGATAACAAACTGCTTCTAATGCTGCTCTCACTATGTGGCCTTTGGTTGTAAACTGCGTGATGCCAATTATTGCCCTGAAATAATTTTTAAGACTTTCATAACTTTAACATGATTACTATTAATAAATAACTATTATAATTTTAGCGTAATAACTAACATAATAACTAATAATTAACATGATATAATACTTTAATATTATAAATTTTTTTCAAACATGTGACCCCCATCTCTGAAATATGAAATCTCTGAAATTTTTTCAAATGTGACCCCCATCTCTGAACAAATAATGAGAGCAAAAAACTTTACCATTAAAAAACTAAAAAATTATACCCTCTTGCTGACATGTCCCAATAAGGAGCAAATAAGCCAGAAAATGCAGGAACAAAATACACATTTCCATTATCTTTCACTGATGACGCTAAAGCCTCTGTTTCACTAGCACTTTTAATGATTCCTAATTGATCACGCAACCATGTTATAGCTGCACCAGTAATTGCTATGGAGCCCTAATAATATAGTTAAATAGTTTAATTATATTATAAAACAACTGTTTTTTAAAACTTTTAAGCTTTATTTGTAAGTCAAATAAAACTTTACATCAAACTTGATAAAAATAAGAGACAAATATGTTTAAATATAAATGTGTAAACCTTATAAATACATGCAATAAAAGACAAATGTGTTAAGACATAAATGCGTAAACATTATAAATACATGTTGACATATAAATATGTATAGATGTATATTATAATCAGAGATCATCCAAATCATATTTTTAAAATCCAGAAAATATTTTGCAAAAAAAATATGCAATTGATTTCCCTCATAACTGTCTTAATTTACCTTCAAACTGTTATTTTCTCAATTTTTTTAAAACTTATTATTTGAATATGAAAATAAATGAAAAAGTTATATATATATAAGCTTCAATAAAATAAAGGAAAAAAGAGAGAACAAATTAAATAAATATAAAAATGAAATATAATATAACATAATAAAGAGAGAGAAAAAAGAGAGAAAGATGAAACTAAAAGAGATTATTAGAGAAGATTTTTTAGAAAATCTTTTATCTAAAAATCTTAACTTGAATCTGATCATGAGGCAATAAGTAAAAAGAGAAATTATTTTTGCTCCAATCATTAATTTTTTTTTTGATTTTTATTTTGTTTTGTACTAACTCATCCCCAATTGCTGATAAACAAATCCCAGGTAACTAGGATAACTAGGTAACTAGGTTGCAAGTGAACACTCTTTAAGTTACAAAAAAAAATTGTTAGAGAGCAAGAAAATGATTGACAGAAGACTTAATGAAGCGTAAATTGTATGAATCAGAAAACATAAAGAAGGTAGAGAGTTCTAAAACAATGATGTGCTAGGAAAAAAATTAGAAGTTTTTCAAGCATTGAGGGTCAGATACAATAAAATAATGTTTAATATTATCTTGCTGATCAGGTGAATAATAAATCTTATCTTATGTTGTCTTGCTGATGATCAAGTGATGAGTAAATCTTATTTACTTGACTTATCATTCAGCAATTTCATCAAAGGTAGATAATGGAATAGGGAAACAGCAAGCACAATAAAGAGAAGCTCTTTAATGTAGAAGAAAATACATTGCAAATGCAAACTTTATAATTGATTTTACATATTCCATGAGAGGTCAGAAATGAAATGAATAATACAGGAATATCAACATAATTAAAACAGTTGTTTGAAGTAAATAACTGAATTTTTTTTGCAGTTGAAATTTGAAAGCCCTTAAGCTGTTACAGAGAAAAATCAGATTTAAGATTGGCCTGTTCTAAGTGATCAAATTATATAGACTTTTTGTCAAGGCAGGAGTATATTGTCAGCCAAAAGAAAGCCACTTTAGATGTCAGCAAGATCAATAATATAGGTAAGGAACAATACATGCCCAATTATAGTGACTTGTGAAACCCTAGAAGTTACTGGAAATAAAGAAGGGTGTTGGCCTTCAAAGAAGACTTTAATACTAATATTATACTAACAATATCAAAGTATTTTTGAGATACACGATATGAAGTGATCTTATGGAGCAGAAAAGCACGCCAGACTTTATCAAAAGCCTTTGATATGTCAAAAGCAATAGTACTTACCTCGCCCTGTCTAAAGCACAATAGAAATTTTACCCTCCAACCTATCTAAGGCACAATAGAACCTTTGCCCTCCATCCTATCTAAATGCAGAACCTTTCTATTATAACAGTTAACAAGTCAGCTATAGAATGAAAAATTCGAAATTTTTTTTTTTAACATCTTTGCTTCCAACAAGGCTGCAAGCAACCACTATTATAGAGCAAGATAACGATTGGCAAAAGACTTAAATATTGCAAATTATATGAATCAAGAAAACAAAATAAAGGAAGCGAATTTCAAAGAACTGATGTTTGAGGAAAAAAACTAGATGAATAAGAATTTTTAGAGCACTTAGGAACAGTCACAGTAAAAGGATGAGACTTAATAAAATGATGAGTAACACGAGAATGAATTTTAGTAGAAGACACAAGAGACGCTAGCTCTTTAGAGCAGTGCCTGTTATAGTATTTGAAGAAAAGAGAAAGAGAAGCAACATTATGACAATGTGATAACTTTTGGAGGTAGGCTGCAAGAGCAGGTCAAACTATGTTTAGAATGCATTTTTGCACAATTGTCAGAAAGTAACTAACTAAACTGTCAGAGATTTGATTATCAACTTCTTATTCTCAAGATAATTTAGGGGTTTTCCATAAATAGCGTCATGCTATATTGAGTGTTCTCATATTTTTTTATCTTTTTATTTAATTTATTATAGCTTAATCATTATTTTTTTTTAATTAATTTAATTTACGGTTGCTTTTATTTATTAGTATTGCTGTTGAATTTTTTTATTTGTTTGTTTATTTTAGTTAGGTGTCACTCCAATGACTAGTTTTTAACTATATGAGTGACACCTAACCTATTTTTTTTTTTAATTATAAAAATTTGTAATTTTCAATTTTTGGTTAAATAAATGGATATATAGCAGGAGGGGGAAGAGTTAGTGGTTTTGTGACGACTCAAATGAAAATTTTATAAAGTCTTAGGATGTTGTGAAAAGAGATGAGGGGGGGGGGGGAAGGGGTTTATAATAGTTAAAACTTGCGTGATGTAATTTGAGAACAACTCCTTATTAGAAATTTGTTAGTTAATGATTTATAAGCTAATAGTATAGGAAAGACTGATTGGTTGATTGATAAAAGGGCAGAATTTTCTCCATAGTTTTAAAAAAATGGATCCACAGGTGCCATTTTCTAGCAGGCAAGGAAACAAGTTTCAGTTAAACACTATCAAATCAAGTAATAATTTTTAATTCTTGAGTAAATCAAGTATAAACCAACTGCATAAGAAAGCCATTGAAACAAATATAAAATGTATATAAACCAAAATGGATTATGAAATAGTATTTAGTATGAATGTTGAAGAACTTGCAAGTAGCAACTTTATCTATTTTTAAGATAGCAAGCTTTAAGTGTTACTTATTTACACAAGCTGTAAGTAACAATTACAACTTGTGTAAATAAGTAACACTTACAACTTGTGTAAATAAGTAACAATTACAACTTGTGTAAATAAGTAACAATTACAACTTGTGTAAATAAGTAACAATTACAGCTTGTGTAAATAAGTAACACTTACAACTTGTGTAAATAAGTAACAATTACAACTTGTGTAAATAAGTAACAATTACAGCTTGTGTAAATAAGTAACAATTACAACTTGTGTAAACAAGTAACACTTACAACTTGTGTAAATAAGTAACACTTACAGCTTGTCATCTTAACAATAGATAAAATTGCTATATGCAGGGATATGAAGTCCTAAAAGGATTTGATATTTAATGACTTAGAACCTATTGTTTTTTATCCCAGAGTCATTTCCCCCGAGGATTCATTGCTCAAAATTGATTGTTCCTCTAAACTAAAATTCCTTTTTTTTTCTCTTCCCTAAAAGTAGTCTTTACATTTTTAGAGCTCCTGTGTACCAAAAACCAGGAAGAAATAATTAATTTTGTAACTTTCAAACCTCTTTTGGGACTCTGCATCCCTGGTTATTTGTTAAGGCAAAATGTAAATGACAATTTTTATTACCAAGTAACAATTTTAGATAAATTACACAATTTTTAAGTGAAATGAAAATTATACTTCAGATAGCACACTTTTAGTTTTGAAAACATTTACAAATTCTTTTCAATGACAACAATAACAATGACAATAACACTTCAATTAGGCAAAATATTTTTTAAATTTAAAAAGAAATATAATGTCAGCAACTATCCCAGGTCATGTTTTAAAAATACAGTAAGGTTTTTCCCAAAAATACCCGAAAAAATTTATAAAACATTTTCAAGAAATATCTGGAAAATATTTGGAAATTTAAAAGCATTTGATGTGTAATCAAGAATATTTTATGTATTTGAACAGAAATTCATTTGTGCGCATGGTCAAACAATGGTCAAACAGTTTTATGTACTATTATTGTTGTCTATTTATAGTTATACCTTTAAGTTTTATTTTTCAAAGTTTCATAGAATAAGAGCATCAATGTATAAACTGACTTGAATAAGGATGTGTTGAATAAGTATAAACATAGTGGAGTTTACACATATCGACTGACTTAAATAGGGATAGGCTCAATGGAGTGAACATACTTCGACTGATGCTTAGGTTTGAGCAGGCATTCTTTTACTTAATAGAAAAAAATTTCAATAAATATTTAGATAGGGTTTAATTATATAAAATTAATTTGATTTATATTAAAAAGTTGATAAATTAAAGTACGCTCATTTTTAGCTGAATTAATTCCAGAAAAAAAATAATCCCTGTAATGTTTGCTAATTAAAAAGATTTCTATAAACTGATTTTGTTCAATTTTCAAAAAAAAAAAATAAAGCGATAAGTTAACACTTAAAATATTTGCAAAACAATTCACTAATCCACTAATTAAAAACTATTAAATTACTTCCAAAGCAAAAGTAGGTGGCTCATCAGGTCCGAATTGATATGCAACTGTTGACAACAAACCATGTTCTGAAAATACAGGTACCTGAAAATTTTATTTTTAATGACCATTTAGTTTTAATTATTGAACAATAAATCATGTAGTAACTATGCCAACATAATAAAACACATTTATTTTTAAAGTACATTAAATAATTTATTAAATAAAATAAAATTAAACATAATACTAAAGATAAAATATAAATTTTAAACTAAATACTACCTTGCTTGTATTATAAAGAAGAAAGTTACCAGTTCCATAGCTATAACAAATAAAAACATAAAAAAAATAATTGAATGATTGGAATTGTTATACACACACAGATATATATACATGTATATTAGCCCAGGCCATTTTTTTGTCATAGTGAAAATTTGTGACACATAGTAACTAATGAGTGTCTCTTGGGTCACTTTTATTAATAATTTGTTTTTTTTTAATTTGTTTGGTAATATTTACTATTACCGCCAGTCACTTATAAATATATTTTACCAAGAAATTGGCCTGTTTTCACCTATTTTTGGCTTATTGGCGGAAATAGTAAATATTATCCAATATTGTTTGTTGTCAATGTAAAATGTTTATGAAGGTCTATGTTATAACATATTAACACTAACATAATGAGAAATATCTCCAAGTATTACTAATAAAATATATAATGGGTCTTTATTTTCAAAAAAATAACTTTAAAAAAAGCAGTGATATACAGAGCAGAACAGTTCTATAGAACAGAAACTTCAATATCTTTATTAGTAGAGGATTTTAGAGTTGGAGGCACAGAGTTAGCTGACTTTTTGTATGACGCTTTGGTTCTGCAAACTGGTTTCTTCCAAGCATTCTTGACCTGGAGGAGATTATGCAGTTAGTCTTCACTCTTGGTTTTCTCCACATTCTGTTGGATGAGCTTGACAGCCCACTCATAGCAATCATTAACAACATTAATGGAGTTCACAAACTCCTGAAACTTGTTGTATCTGGGAAACTTATATCAAAACTGATGGAGTAGTTCCATCCAAATACACTGCTACATGGTAAGGCCTAGAATGTTGAAGAGAATCCAACTCTCCTTCTTGATAAAATTTGTTAATGAGGGAGGTTTCTACTTCTCCTTTAGGTAAACATGCATTGGAGGCATCTTAGCTCTTTCTCTATTTCTTCTGAGTGGCGTTCTATCTGTGACAAACAGAACCTTGGTTATCTCCTCCATCTGCGCAAAGTTATTACTGTCCTTGGAAGCCAAGAACATTCTACCAAGGAAGGGTCTATATACCAAGTGTGGTTTCTCCATGATTTTAATACTGACTCTGCAGCAGGTTCAATCTGAGCATAGTGGCACATTTGCCAATAGCTGAACTGATCCTAAATAAAATTAATTCAAGTATTATATTTACCTCAAACCAAGCTTGTGCAATACAAACATAAAAAAAAGTACTTTCATTATTTCTATTACTATTTTTGTAAAACAAATATTGCATACTGCACAATGAAATTGCACCATTAATTATTTTTTTATTAAACTTTTTCTATTTTACCTTCACTGAAGCAGAGTCTGAAAACTCATAAGTAAGAAACCAGGAAGTGTAAGAGATGGCAATAAATTCTGCTATTCTCTTGATCTCTTTGATAATATCATAATTGATTTCAATAACCTGTTGGATCTTGGAAAGAAGAAGCTGAAACTTCAGCTAATAGAGGGCTTTCTCAATGAACCTAGCATGGGATATAACAACAGGCTTGTGAAACTTGTACGGAGCTGGCTCACATCCCTGATCTAAATATATTATAATCAACTCTGCTAACTCAAAATAGTCCCCTCTATTCTCCAATGTCTGAAAAACTTTATACTTTTAAATCTTTAAAAGAAGCATATTGATTTGTTTAAATCGAAGCTGGCTTGCATCCTTGATATAGATGCATTATGACCAACTCTGCTAACTCAAAATAGTCTTCTCCAATGTCTGAAATGTTTTTAAATCTTTAAAAGAAGTTTGCATATTTGTTTAAATCTCACCCAAAAAAATTTAAATTCAATTTATTATTTCTCAGAATATTTTTGTTCTTCAAGCTTATGCAAGTATTGGCTGTCTCTCTAGCCATTTTCCACAAATACCATTGTAATCAAATCTTGAAAGGGTGTCAACCTGATCTGCTCCAACTTTAGACATGAACAGTTGGTTTGATGGCCCAACAGTTCTTTTACCAGCAACTTTGGAATTAAAGTAGGATATGTGCACTTCTCCAACATGGTGTCGGCATGCCAACATAAACAATGGTCGGTCATGAAAGTGAGCCAACCTCAGTCATACTCCTCTGAGGTGTCCAATATTTGAAGCTGTAGTGTCAAAACATATTCCACATATCCATTCACCAATATCATAAGAATCCAACAGCTTCTGAATTGCTTCAAACTGAGCCTTGCTCAGTTTGAAGCAATTCGAAAGGGTAGGAGACTCATCGAGTACATTATCGTTCATAAATATAGGAAGGTCTAAATTATTGCGATAACGATTGGCCGAAAAAAATTGAGTTTTATCTGAATTAAAGTTCACCAGGCACTGTGAGCACCATGCTGTAGCAGAAGTGAGATCCTTTTTAAGCTCAGATGCCCCCTGCAAGCAGAGGGAGTTGGCTTCTTATCGTGACAAGAATAAATGGTAGTATCATCAGCAAACAATGCCACCTTAGATGTGAGAATATCTAGAAGATCGTTAATGTTAATTAAAAAGAGTATAGGGCCAAGGATTGAACCTTGGGGAACCCCTGAGGTTACAGAATAATAAGAAGAGTGCTGTCCATCAAGGACAACTTTTATACTACGATTGTAAAGAAAGGATTCAATAATCTTAAAGATGTTTCCAGATACACCATAAGAAGAAAGCTTATGGAGAAGACAAGCATGCCAAACTTTATCAAACGCTTTAGAAGTGTCAAGAGCGATGGCCTTAACCTCTCCACCTTTATCTAATGCGCGATAAAACCTATCGGTTATTACTGATAGCAAATCAGCCATAGAACGAGAAGGTCGAAATCCATAATGATGATCAGAAAGTAGGTTATGAGATTCGAGATTCGAGATTAAGTATTTGTTAATTAAAGATTCAAAAACCTTGCTTATGATAGGAAGAAGACTAATGGGACGGTAGTTAGATGAATCAGATCGCTCTCCAGAATTTTTAAAAATAGGGATAACAGATGCTGCTTTCCAGCAGGGTGGAAAACAAGACTCTGATAAGCACTTGTTAAATAGTTTTGAAAGGATAGACGACAGCTCCGGAGAACACTTCTGCAAGACTATAACAGGTATGTTATCCGGGCCAAAAGCTGTAGAAGAGTCTAAGCGGGAAATCACTTTAGATACAGAAGCTGAAGTGATACGAATGTCGAGCAATGGATCAACCTGTTTGACAGCTATATCAGGTAGAACACAACTAGTGGAATCCAGAGATGATATTGATGAAAAGTTCTTGGCAAACAGTTCAGCTTTGTCTTTAGGTGAGGTGACAAAGTCTAAACCGTACAAAAGAGGTGGAATTACAGACTTGCCCTTATTATTGATACTATTAAAGATTCTCCAGAAGTCACAAGAGCCTAATTTTTGTGATAAAATACGAGATTTCATGATCTGAGAATAGCGAGCTTTGGCGTTAGACAAAACCTTTTTACAATGGTTCCTAGCAGTAATAAACAGACATCTGTTTTCTGGAGAATTATTTTGCTGATAGATATGGAAGTAATGGTTTCGATTGGCAATTGCAGCAGCACAATGTGAGGAAAACCATGGAGAAGAGTGAGGCTTGACCTGGAATCGTCGAGAGGGAATAAAGGATTCCATGCCAGCCTGAATCCACGAAGTTATGTAAGAAGCACATTTGTCAACAGGGAGACAAAAGATTTCTACCCAGGGGCCATCACGAAGAAAGTCACAAAAAGAGTCCCAGTCAGCTTTAAGGTAGTTGTAAGATGTACAATGATAGGGGGATTCTGATGGTAAAGAAGAATGAGATAATAGTTTTAGAGAGACCAAACCATGATCAGACGCCCCTAAGGGTGAGTGTGAAGAAACTGAGCACTGACTAGGATCAGAAACAAGATATAAGTCGAGTAGAGAAGGTAAATGATTCGGGTTGTCTGAAAAGCGAGTTAGAAAGTTGACTATTTGAGTTAGGGATTGAGAAAGACAAAAGTTGTGGGCCTTAATGCCTGCAGAGTCACTGACACTAGAGCCAAGCCATTCAGTGTGATGAACATTAAAGTCACCAACAACAACAATATTGGCTGATGGATAAAGAATGAGGGCTTGGTCAATATAATCAGAAATAACATCAAGAAGAGTGCAGTCTTGGGATGAGGGAGAGCGATATAGAACAAAGAGAAAGGTGATAGAGTGAAGTGGTGCTAAACGAAAGCACATAAAAAAGTAGTCTGTGGATTCAAACCTAGTTTCCCGACAAATGGGTGAATTCTTACGAATGTAAATGCCCAGGCCAAGCATGTGACTATTGGAGTCTTTACGAATTAAAGGAAGATAACCATCAACACTAAGATCACAAGATGAAACAGTTGAACTCAAATTAGTCTCACAAAGAGCAAGTAGGTCTGGTGAACTTTGCAAGAGGTAAGACTCAATAGAAGAAAAGTTACTTCGAAGACCACGAATATTGGTGAATGATAGGTTTAGCGAACTTGGTGATGACTGTGGTTTTTTGTGTTTTATAGTTTTTGTTACTTTATTCATTTTTAAATTTGTTAAAGAACTTGACTCGAAACATAGATAGTACTTAGTACACTGTTTTATAGCTCAAGCAATTACCTCATTTCCACTAATAAACCCTAAGCCGTAACAAAGGGCTCCAATGTGGCCTTGGCAATGCACACCAAAAGTACAAACAGGGACACCATCCAAGCGCAACATGGCACTGTTAGTACTCTGATATTTTTCAGCTGTTGATGGAATCAGCCTCTCTGAGAGCTACCACAGAGTTCGGGAAACCTGACTACCAGCAGGCCTCAGAACCATAAAACTGAGTTTTAGAGCTGTACCCTCATTTGGAGATAATAGAATGAGTTGCCTAGTCATAAACACAAGCAAAACCCATGAATCTTAATTCAATGAATTCTTAATTAATCCAGAAATTTTATAAAGTCAATCAACAGAAAATTTTTAAATTGAATTATATAATTGTTTTATATTGACAGAGATGACTATATTGAAACTTGTTACCTTCAAGTTTAATGCTAAACCTCTTGTGAGATGCTTCATAGCCAGCTCCAACTTTCTTCTCAGATTTACTCAGGTTAATGTTCCAAAAGCTGACTAACACTGTCGTGCAGATAGTGGACAGTCAGAACTGAAAATCTTGTTTTTTTCCAACAAACAAAGATTCCAGAAAAGAGACACCCAAACTCACATTTAGTACCATCTGCAATTCAAGATAAACTAGAAAAAATTTGTTAAAATAACAATCTTTGTCCAACTACATTAAAAAGGGAACAGATGTATTCAAGTAATTATTTGAGGAATTTTTTGGGAATATAATTTAATAATTCACATTCTGTATCCCAGTTCAACTGCTTACAATAAAATCATAAAATTGGAGAATGGATCTCTAAAATGAAAAGTTGGGAGTGGTCGAATCGCTAAGTTAGCTACTAAAGAAAATATTCCAAAGATTGGTGCATTTTTTAAAAATAAGTCAGGGTGCTCCTAAAAGAAAGTAGCTGAAGTTTTTAACTGTAGTCAAACTCGAATTTTCCAAGTATTAAAAACAATGACTAACATTCGAACTTTCAAAAAAACAAATAGAGCAGATTGTAGCCATCAGCAGAAGAAAGCTATGCGTCCTAAATGTCGTAAATTGTATGAATATTATAAAAACTTGGATTTTGTTATGGATGATGAAAGCTATTTTACCTTAAACAATAGCACATTAGCTGGTAATGATAGGTTTTATGCCGCTGATCCTTCTAATGTTCTGATGAAGTAAGATACAATTTGTATTAAAAGGTCAAATGAGGACAAGCTCTTTGTTTCTTGTTGCATTAGCCCCTGTGGAATAAGCCCTCTTTATATTCATCACAGTAAGCAGGCAATCAACCAGTAAACTTATAAAGAGATACTAGAAAAAACTTTACTTCCTCTAGTATCAGAATGTTATAAAAAAGACAATGATTTTATCTTCTGGCCTGATCTAGCTCGATCACATTACGCAAAGTCAGTCATCCACTTTTTAAAATTGAAAAAAATCAAAGTTGTACCCAAAGATATAAACCCAGCTAACGTTCTAGAGACAAAACCAATTGAAAACTTTTGGAGTGATTTAAAACGGCTAGTGCACAAGAATAATTGGAGAACTAAGAATTTGGAAGAGCTTGAAGCAAGAATTAGATATTGCTATTCAAAGATGAATAAAGAAATTTTCCTTACTCAAATAAAACATCTTTCAAAAAAACTTTATAATATTGCTAAATATGGTATTTGAAATAATTATTTTAATATATTTATAAACTGCATATACTAACATATTAACAGTTGAAATATTAAATAACAAAACTTATTAGTTCTTAAAATATTAATTTTTAAATTTTGTCTAAAATTTTATATATGAGGTGTTATATATATATATATATATATATATATATATATATATATATATATATATATATATATATATATATATATATATATATATATATATATATATATACAGGAGTCAGATACTTAATCCTTATGATCATTAGAAAGTATATGGTATAAAGTATAAACCTTGCATTATGCCAGGTGCCAGGTTAATAGTGATGAAAATTCTTTAATTTCTCGGTTTAAATGTTTTGTAGAATGTTAAATATTTTTAATATGTCTAAAATATTCATAACCATAGTATTAATATAATTGAATGTGATTATTGATTGTGTATTATATATGATTGTATATTATATATGATTTTATATATTATATATATATATTATATATATATATATATATATATATATATATATATATATATATATATATATATATATATATATATATATATATATATATATATATATATATATATATATATATATATATATATATATATATATATATATATATATATATATATATATATATATGGCCTTGGCAGGAGTAAATAAGTGCAAGAGTGGAAAAAGGTTTTTCTGGGACGAACATGCGTCATACGAAAATGAAGTCATGTGAGCAGCTCCTCTAAACAGTTTCTTACAAGAGCTTTCAGTTATGTACAAGCTATCTGCTTATTCGCTAAAAAAATTGCTTGTTAAATACAAATTTAATTTTATACTTGTTACAAGCATATGCATGTAACGGTGCTGCAATGAGACCACCCCAGATTATCTCCTTTTCTTCTTTGAAGAATGCTAATTTATTCTTCTTTCCTCTTGCATCTATCAGCCTTTCTCTGAAATCTTAATTCAAGCTGTATCATATGGTCATACTCTTGTTATGATATGTTAAGATATGGTCATACTCTTGTTAGTCTCAGCAGATATATTCATACTTCTGTTAATTTGAGCAGAAACAATCATACGTCTGTTAGCTTTGGATCAAAAGTTGTTTAAAACACTTCATGTAATATAAACTTAAATAGAAATTATAAAAAAATGATTTTTATTAATTAATGAAAAATAAGTGGATGCATCGATTAAGTAGAAAAAATAAATGTGTAAGGAAAAATAAGTAGATACATTATTTAAATAGGTCTTATAAATAATAATCTTTTAAAAAAATATTATTTTAATAATAGACTTAATACCTATGATTATATCTAAGAAGATCTTATACAACAGAGGTATCATGAGGCTTTAATTTGTCCTGATTCAACTTGTTCTCAAAATCTTTAGCACTGATGTTAAACAATCGCTCTATCATATTTTCAAAGTCATTTTTTGTACAATCAGAAATTTCATTTTGATTGATAAAAGGTTTTACTACTGTACAGATTTTTACATTTGCCTAAGAAATCACTGAAACCTGCTGACTTACAAATATATATAACTTATTGAAGTAAGAATTATTTTGCTGTATTTAAATTATAAACCTATTTCTTTTCTTTACATAACATAATCTCGTGAACATGCAAAGTGTGATTTAACAGGTTTGAATCTCTAGTTATGATCAGCTCCAATGAACGCCATATTTACGAGTACAAGCGTAGAACGCCAGTTATATGGTAGTTGGTGTATAGGTAGAAAGCTTAATAGTATATTTAAAGACAAAAGGTAACTTAAAAAACTTGATACTTGGTAATTTGGTATACAGACATACAAGCATTATAGCTGCATGCTAAACTATAACTTCTTTGTGTTTTCTCTCCTTGATTTTGGTAATGTAAATGTCAAATAATAATATTTATTTGTTTTAACAAATGTAATAAGTTCAAGACAAAATGTAACAAGTTGATTAAAACCACAAACTATTTAAAAACTAATTATAAATGTTGACAAATATTTTAAAAACATTATGAGTTTTTATTTTTTTATTTTTACATGTAACCTTTTTACATGTAACGTTTGCAAACCATTTCCAGGCACTCAAGTTGCAAACCATTTCCAAGCACTCAAGTTGCAAACCATTCCCAGGCACTCAAGTTGCAAACCATTTCCAAGCACTCAAGTTGCAAACCATTCCCAGGCACTCAAGTTGCAAACCATTCCCAGGCACTCAAGTTGCAAACCATTTCCAAGCACTCAAGTTGCAAACCATTCCCAAGCACTCAAGTTGCAAACCATTTCCAAGCACTCAAGTTGCAAACCATTTCCAAGCACTCAAGTTGCAAACCATTCAAACCAGGCACTCAGATCTACATTGCAAACCATTTCAAGTTGGCACAGTTGAAACTTGTAGATCTGAAAAATCTTGACTCCCTAAGATTAGTATAATCAGAAAATGTTTTTGCATTTTTTATGTTGTTTTTATTTTTCAAAAATTTTGTGTAGTGTATATCACTGCTAATAGTCTAAATATTTAAAAATAATAAAATATTTAATGTAGATATCCTAATCTAAATAGTATACATATTATATTATATATTATCAATTAATATAATTATATATAAGATAATTTAATTAATATTTACGTGTTTTTAGCCTCTCCACCAGAAAAGCATTTCTGTCCAACCAGTGCAGCTTGCTGATCGCCTAATATCTGACATTGATAACTTTGAAATGTTAAAAGTTTTAATTTTCAAACTTTAAGTAGGTTGTTAAATTTTAAAAATTTAGTAAAAAGACAAAATTACAAAATAAAAAGATACCAAATCATTAAGCTATTAACTGATTGAAAACCAACACCTTAGGGTTGCATCATATCAAGGGTTAGGGTTGCATAACATCTACCTTAGGGTTGCTTTTTTTTATTTAAATGACTAATATTTTATTACAAAAAATTTGAATGACAATAAATTCAATGAATCTTTTTTTGAAATAAAAAACTTACTCCTGAAATGACCACTCCTTTTAGTGAACCACATTTCTGAAACAATCAAACATACAATTAATACTATACATTTACATTTACATATATACTTAAATATATTCACATATATATGTATATATATATATATATATATATATATATATATATATATATATATATATTAATATATATATATATATATATGTATATGTATATATATCAGGGTCTATTCTAGGAAAAAAATTTGGGTGGAGGTACCCCCTCATTTTGGCAGTCTTTAGCAGAAAATCTGCATTTTTTTCGCGAAAAAAACAATAATATAAAAAAAAAACGAAAAAAAAAAAGGTCCTTAAATTTTTATTTGGACAACACCCATATTGGCGCCCAAATACGGTCAACAAATAGCCCCTGCATATGTATATATATGTATATTTATATATATGTATATATATATATATATATATATATATATATATATATATATATATATATATATATATATATGTATATATGTATATATATATATATATATATATATATATATATATATATATATATATATATATATATATATATATATATATATATATATATATATATATACATATATATATATATATATATATATATATATATATATATATATATATATATATATATATATATATATATATATATATATATATATATATATATATATATCCTTATTTGGTAGTCAAAAGAGACTTTTATGGTAAAAAGTCTCTTTCAACATCATTTTAACAACTTTAACAAAAAAGCTACATTTTATTGTCGTCTAAACGTTAAATCAATTTAAATAATGTACATTAATTTTTATTGTTTTTTAAAAAACCGCAATAATAAAGACAGAAAATTGTTTAAATTAATAGCTTTTGTTTTTGTTTTTTAAAAACATAATTTAAAAACATGCAAGGAATGTTGCTACATTGACAATCTTATAACCTGCTGCTACAAGGAAGTGTCACTACATCGACTGAGGATTTGATTTGGGCAAGCATTATATTGTTTAAAAAAAAAAATTTAATTTTTTTAATTTTTTTTGGTCTGGTTTATTAGTGTTTAAAACTACAGTTTATGGAGGAAACTTTTAAACTGCCATGCTAGACTACTGCAATTTTTCACACATTTATGTAATTTGCTGACACTATTGTAAAAAGAATTCTTTAGAAATGATTACTTAAGTTTTTTTAAAAAATAATATATTTTTTTCAAAGGGGAGTTAATGTAACTATTATTTAAGCTCACTTATTTTTATAGTTTTTTAGGAGAAACATATTTTCGTGCCTGCATTTAGAAATCAATTCCGATTTTTTGTTTAATAAACATTCTTGGTTTGTATGTGTAATTATTCCAAATTTTTCTTGTAGACATAGTATGCATTTTTTGGAAATATTGTTATATGCAGGCACTGTTTTAAGGATGGACCAATTCAATGTAAAATCATCAATATTTGTATCTTTTAATTCCCATACATATTTTGACAGCATGGTGTCTTTTGAATACTTTTTATTTTTAAAAGAATGCTTATGATTGGCAAAACGTTTTTTCCATTCACCTTCTGTTATGCCAATATATTTTTTATCAGGTACATTCTTAGAGGAGACAACACATTTATATACCGCATTTTTTGATAAGCAACTTCCACTCATTGGACAATTGTTTTTTTGTTTACAATTACAATTTTCTTTAGTTTTTTCATTTTGAATTTCTTTTTTGTTTAACAAAGCATTGTTGTGACCTTTTATAATTCTTTCCATATTTTTTGTGCAACTGTAGTTAACTTTAATAGTATTTCGATTAAAAAATTTATGTAATTTATTAGAGGGCGGGAAATGCTTATTGATCAATTTTAAAAACACTTTTCCTATGTTTGTGGAAACATTTTTGCTATATGGGGGGTTGAACCAAATTACATTTCTAATTCTATTTCGCTTTTTTGTATTCTTTTTTTCAGGGTCAAATTTTAATTCAAAGTTTTCAAAACCACTTTTTTTAAGAGCATCTTCAAATATCTGTTTGGAGGAATTGAATACATTTTCATTAGAGGAGTTTTGGTTAAGCCTGTTAATAATTGAAATCGGGATTTGTTTTAGAATTTGGGGTGGATGATTTGAGTTAATATTAATATACAATAATTCATTGTTTGGTTTTTTGAAAGGCTTATATGTATTTTCCGAGAGGTTAAATGTGACATCAAGAAAATTCACATTTTTAAATTTATGTTTATTTCAATTTGAAAGCCAATATTTTTAAAAATTTTTATAATATCTTTTCTAATTTTATCAAGCTGTAGACAAGATTTTTTACGCATTACTATTAAACCATCGTTGCGATAAAGGCCTAAATTGTTTATATTGATTATTTTACTTAATAATCTAAAATATATAATATATATATATATATATATATATATATATATATATATATATATATACATATATATATATATATACATATATATATATATATATATATATATATATATATATATATATATATATATATATATATACACATATATGTTTATATATATATATATATATATATATATATATATATATATATATATATATATATATATATATATATATATATATATATATATATATATATATATATATATATATATATATATATATATTTACATGTATTCTGAAAAATAGAGTGATCAATATTCTTAAATGAATAGAGCAATAATAAATTAGTGGAAACAACTCACAAAGATTTTTATTGTTATTAACAAATAGTAAACAGTAGACAATAAAAACTCTTATGATATGAATGTTAAAATGTTGAGATACAATTTAAAAATAAATTACAAACAGGAGGTAATCTACTGGTATTTAGAGTGGTAGCCCTCTTACCAAAGGCTAACATGGTTACCAGTCCTTCTGTTGATCATGATGAGTTAAACATAACTGTTTTGATTAAATTGTTAGGTGAATGGAACGATGGATTAAAAAAGAGGTAAAAGAACATATAAAAATTAACAAAAAAAAAGATGATACAATCACATAACTTACTAAAAGAATTGAACAACTAGAATCAAATAAAAATCATACAAATACAACTCTCAGAGAATTCCATCATTTAATAACATTGACAGTGGTAAAGCAAAAAGTTCTGAACAAAACATGGCTGTTCTTGCCATGGTTGCAAGGTTGCATGTAGAGAAACAATTGAAAAATAAAAAATTAACAAAAATATAATTATTAGTGGTTTAGAAGAAACCAATTAAACTGATCTAGATAAAAAAAAAAAATCACGACAAAAAAGAAGTTGAAGCAATATTTAAAATATTAGGTGTTGATAGTAGAAAAACTAAGCGTATTACAAAATTGAAAAAAAAGTTAATATAATGCCATCTTTGCCATCTAGAGATTTGGTTTTAGTATAATTTCTTGATCAAAATGTGTTTTAATTTCTAATTACTGAACATTTTTATCTATTAAAGAAGTTACTATAAATATTAAATAATTCATTTATTTTCTTGTCAATAGATTAAAAAATAAAAATATAAAAGTGTAAAGCACTCTTTTGTTTGAATTTAAAGCTTGAGTAAACATAATGACTTTAATTTATGTTTAAAAAAAGTATAGAAGAACGTGCCAAAAAACCAGCAGTTGCAATAGTATCAAAAATTACTTCTTTTATTAAAAAAGAGACGATTCTCTTGAAGCTGTATTTTCAAGAATGATTGCACAAGATGGCATTCCTTTCAATAAATTTTGTACAAAAAATGATAAACTACTGCAAAAATACATTAAAGAAACTGTCGGAAAAGAACTTTCTTTAATTTTAGACTGTAAAACTAGATTGAGTAGTTTATTAAACATGCTGGAAGGATTTTTAAAACTTAAAGATAATGTTCGAAAAAGTCTGATAGATTTAAAAATTGACATTAATTTTGATGAAATCGAAGTAAAATTACTTTTAAATATAATATCATGCTTGCAACATTTTAGGTTGGTTGTTAAAAGACTTTGCACTGAAAGGGGTAATTTATATGTAGACAATCTTACATTAAAATTTATGTTAGACGAGCTAAGTAACCGAAACACTTTTTTAAGTATTGCTCTAAAAAATTAATTAATAAGTTATATTAAAGAAAGAAGAATGATAATTTTAGACGTGTTACACTATATAACAGACCCTAATGATATTATTTCTGTTAAAGACAATTCATCAGCAGTGTCGTATATGACACTGTGTTTAAATTGAGAAAATTGCATTCAAAACTTCAACCTTTTTGTCCTTCACATTTTTTTTTTCTTTAATTCATTCAACCAATTTATTGGCATTATATTTAGAAATATACAGTTTTTAATCTTCAAGCTTCTTGTATAGAAATTAATAAACTTCTTATACAAATATACATATTAATAAATTGAGTATGATGTAAAGTTTCACTTAATCAATTTATAAATAAATAAATATTCACAATTTTTTCTTTTTTTACATTAAGCAATTTTTGTTAAAATTATTTATTTTCGAATAATTGAAAAATAAAATAACTAATTGATCACACATATCTTTTAATTTGTCTGTGAAAAATGATGTAAATAAGTTAAACCATAAATACAAAAAACAACTATTTCCATTTATTGTACCTTTTTTTTTTACAATAAAGAAATAAATATATACAATGTTTATTAAAACATTTTACAAGATGATATATTTAATTGTTCAGACTTTGTGACTTAAAAAGAGCATTACAAAATTCGAGATCATCCCCAACAATATATTTTACCATTGACTCAAGGTCATTAATTTTTTTATTCGAGAGCAAAAAACGTGTTGAATCATTTTTTAATGGAGAAAATTCTTTCAAAACTTCAACTTTCTGTTTATTCTTTCTCTGAGGGGTACCTTTTACCAATTGTTTTTCAATTAACAGACCTGAGAACAACTTTTTGAATTTAATATGAAAAGATAGATGTTTTTCATGACACATTAGTTTTATTTTTGCAAAAGGCACTTTATGAAAATACAAAGACTTGGAAGCAAGTTTGAAGTTTTTGAAGTCATCTTTATAC